TATATATATATATATATATATATATATATATATATATATATATATATATATATATATATATATATATATATATATATATATATGTTGAGCAGTATATGCATCTACCATTAACTTGGAAAGGGGGACTACTTGTAGCACACCAAGGAATTGGACTTGCCACTGACCAAGTCCACCTTTCTATCAACCAAGAACCTATGATTCATTGAGCTTGGAAGATCATATCATAGACAAATACTTTTTAACTGCATTTTCTTATTTTTTGTGCTAATTGTTCTGATTGAACTATCATGAATCAGTAAACATTATGATGATTGGCAAATTAATCATGCTAAAAACCATCTTGAAATGAGTCAACCACCAAGAAAAAGGAACTATGCTTTGTTCATCCCATAGGCTTACTAGTTTCCAACACATTGCTTCCTGCACACTTGACAGCAGGAATCCATGGATTCAACTAATCCATGTGAAGCCTGTGACTAGAGACAATTATAGATTCCTACAGATATATGTGAATCAGTTCCATTGAGCAGTACTGTCTGCATTCCTGACAGCAACTTCTTTTTGTCGAGTTATTTGGCAGCAGACAAGGAAGGAATTGTTGCTTGCTTGCCTTCCAAAGGTTGATAAAGAGAGGGGGAAGAATGGTGAGACAAAGCTACAGTTTTATTTGGTACTTTCTTAGGATAACAAATCCTCCCATATATCATCATATGCCATGAATAACCCATTTTCTTTTATAGGGTTTAGGCAATATATCTTGAAAGATTATGTTCACTGTCATGTAAATATTTAGGATATCTTTTCATCCTTTTTCTAATGTAAGAGAAAAATTAAATTAAATTTATTTTCCACAATTGTTTCCCCTCCTTCCCTTAAAACAAAATCCACAGCTGGTCACAGTCCACATTCCAATTCCTTTCATTCCAACAACAGCAGCTGCAGCAGCAGCAGAAAGTCCATCTTCTCCCATTTAGTATCTAAGCTACCAAAGTCAATCCCAAAAGTTTGGTCTCCTGTTCATGTAGTTCATGTTAACCGGTGACTAAGGAAGACAACAATGTTGGAATGATGACGGCCGAGTCACCATATCCTCTTCTTCTCTTCTTCCTCCTCCCCATCCTATTCTAAGGGGAAGAAGAGAAGGGAAGAGAGAGAAAGTATAATAGCAGCGGTAAAGTCATTAAATTTTGTTCTTCTTCCTCTGTTCTTTGAGCGAGCTGAAGTTGGAGATGAAGGGAGTGAGCAGCACGAAGCTGATGTATCCGCAGCCATCGTCCAACCACAAGCATGGTGGAAATGGGATCTCCAACTCGGTCTCCTACCGTCGCCGCATTTGGCTCGTCGCGTTCCTCTTCTTCTTCGCCTTCGTCTCGATCCTCACTCTCCACAACCCCACCGGGGCGAGAGATCCGAGTGGCCTCCCCTCCTCTTCTGCCTCCTCGCATGCTGCTGTGGGGTCCGCCGCCGCGGCCACTTCGTGGCCGACGCCGCTGCCGGCTCTGGTGTTCGACGCGCTCGTCCACTACGCCGTGGCCTCCAACTACACGTGGAAGATGGAGGAGGACGGCCTCCGGGCGATCGCGGGCGTGCTCCGGCGGCGGGGGCCCTGCAACCTGCTCGTGTTCGGGATCGGGCACGAGACGCCGCTGTGGCGAGCGCTCAACCAAGGCGGGCGCACCGTTTTCGTGGACGAGAACGAGTACTACGTCGCCCACATGGAGGCGCGCAACCCCGGGCTGGAGGCCTACGACGTGGCCTACACCACCAAGGTCCGGGAGATGCCGGAGCTCCTCGCCGAATCCCGCCGGCAGCGCCGCGGCGAGTGCAGGCCGGTGCAGAACCTGCTCTTCTCCGACTGCCGGCTCGCCATCAACGACCTCCCCAACCAGCTCTACGACGTGGCCTGGGACGTCATCCTGATCGACGGGCCCAAGGGGCACGAGGCGGCAGCGCCGGGCCGGATGTCGGCCATCTTCACGGCCGCCGTCATGGCCAGGTACCGCGGCCGGGGGCCCGTGGACGTGCTCGTGCACGACTACGACCGGGCGGTGGAGAGGTTGTGCAGCGCAGAGTTCCTCTGCTCGGAGAACCTCGTCGCCGCCTCCTCCCGTCTGGCCCACTTCCTCATCCGCAGCAGCGTCGGCCCCACCAACGAGTTCTGCACCAGCAGGACCACCACGGCCTACGGCGCTGCGACTTCCAGCTCGTAGTTTGGCTTCTGCTTCGCCATGGACAGGCCAACCGTCCCGAGGAAAAGACAATGAACACTCGTTCTCCCTTTTCCTTTGCTTGGTAGAGCAAAAGATAGTGCTTTCTTGATGACATGCTGATGTGAAGAGGAATGGACATCAAAGCCGACAACACTGCACGGGTGCAACTCTTTCGTCTCAGGCAGAACACATCAGATTTTGACCATTAGCAACTTGAGAGAGAGAGAGAGAGAGAGAGACTACAAAGACAACTCGCTCATCTTTTCTTATCATATTGCGAGATCTCTGCATGTCGAATCTGTTGGAACAATTGCCTAAAGACACTAAATCTTGTCGATATGAACAAACAATTGTCTAAAAATAATTTAAAGCATTTTTTTGGGTTGCTTCCAACTCTCATAGTAATCAAGCGATCAACTAAAAATAATAATAAAAATCCTGAAAATTCGAGAGATTTGATCTTTCTGGTCTTCTTTTACCCCTTCAAGAGACATTAAATGATGAAAACGGTCAAAGAATTAAACCTCTCTACTTAAAACGGCCATTAAATTAAGATGGAAGGTAAAATAAAAAGGGAATGGATAAACGTGTCCCATCAGGAATCCACCACGTGGCAAGAGGTTGATGGATGAACAAGGTGACGTGTTACCGATAGGAAGGTTGCACTGAGATCCCCTATTCGTATTGTTCTTTCATGCCAACATAAATCATTCCTTTGATTGTTAGGTTAAATAAATAAATAAATAAATAAATCTAATTTTGATTAAAGTTAATAATTTGAAAGCATTAATAAACTATAATTGAATTCAATCTTCGATCCAATCAACTATTTGATGCATGAATCTGAAAAACTTGACCCGATAGATCTTTTCAACTCGAGAAATTAAGAAAAATATATTAAAAATCTTGATAAAAAAAATCTTGGTTAGGTATTTTTCACCATCTAAAATAAGGAGTGATTCCTAAAGTGATATGTAATCATTTGGAACAAAGGGTTAAAATATAATAAAACGATAAAGAAATAGATTAATAAATAAGAATAATATAATAAAAAGAAAATTTTGAGATTAAAAAACATAAAAACCTTAGTAATTCTTAGCTCCAGAATGGCAAGAGGAAGAGTTGTTAGTGAGAAAGTTTTTATTTTCTATCAAAAATGTATTGGTATTTCAAGTTCAGTCTATTATGAAGGAACCTCATAAATAATCTTCTACACCAAAATGGAAACCAAATAAATAGCATAGAAAACAATATTTAATCAACTAGTAGAAGAACGGATATTTTTTCCTTCATCATCTGCCCCTAAAATTTTTGTAGGAAACTTGCACCCAACCCTAGCTATTAGTGTAAAGATAAACTCATAAGATTCAAGGAAAATAAAGGATTTCAAGTATGAACTTAAAGAAAGCATGAATAACTTGATTGGTAACACTCACATTTAATGTGGGAGAAAATTTGAGCCGGTTTGGAAGACTAAATGAGTTTATTATTATTAATTTGGACTAATATATTTTGGGTTAATGGTTTAAGTTTATCAAATTAGTTGATCGATTATCCAATTAAAATGGTTATGATAAATGACTTAGAGCATAATATACATGATATTAGAGCATAAAGCAAGCTTTTAAAATAAATTTATCTTTCCAAACTCCTCCAATTTAAACTTTGATAGGAAATACACACGCCCAAATTTATCTGTCCAAACTCCTCCAATTTAAATTTTGATAGAAAATATACAATTAGTTAGTCATCGCTTGTCAAGCAAATGAGATGCAAGGTCCGTGGGAGAAAAAAGCTCAAATGACCTACCACTTGTTTGCCGGGACGGATAAGAGTCCAAAGGATAGCTTGGAGCGATTATAAATCTCCCCTCTTACAAAATTTTTATAGAAATATTATATCTATTTAAGATCGGATATAAAAATATACCCTCATATAGGGTGTTAAAATCGAGAACATAGACTTATAAAAATTGATATCGAGACTAATTTGAGTATCGAAGGGATTGAGTCAAAAAGTCTCTCTCGACTTCGATTTTTATACAAGTAATATTTTTAGGGAAAATGTCTTCTATCGTGTGTATATATAAATAAATAAATAAATAAATAAATAAATATATATATATATATATATATATATATAATGTCATATGATGATAAAGATGTAAACTATATTTTTTTCTTAACAAATTTGAATATGATTTAAATTAACTTTATTTGGCTTCTAAATTAATAGTATATGTTTGATTGAAAGACATCTTTTTTAATCACGATCATTCTCCACTATGATGAAAAATAATTAATATGATATAACAATCTGAGACGACATCTCTGGGCACATCAAATCATGATGCAATGCTCACTCGAAAAACTGTGGAAAGCAGCAAGAATAGGATTCATCCGAGTGTCCACGATGGTCACGTAGGAAGAAACCACTATGAATTCCTACTCTTCACTTGCCATCGAACGCCACTTGAAGCTTTTCATCTTATGGGTTCTTCTTTTTCTCTGTTCTTCAAGGAATGAATGGGATGGGGGGAGTGCATCATGACATAAGACCCAACCCAGCATGCATGCATCACGACCTCTCAGAGTACCAGTGCTCTTTCGACAGTGCATCTTCAACTTACCAACTCAAAACTTGTATCTAATGATACACTGAGTTCATATTTAATGTTGAGGCCTAATATTATATCTTACTATCATTGTGGGTTGTAACTTTAAATTCTATATCTACATCTTTTTCTTCCACTTCCTACTTTATTAGATTGAACTACATATTTGGATTTGATTCATGTGTCAAATCTGATCCAACTTATGTGTGAGAAAGAACATTATGATCTAACATATATTGGCTTTTAACGTATGTGTGATGAAGCATTTCCATGTCTTATGGCTCAGAACAGTGTCGGCTGCGGAATCTAGAGATGAGTGTATCCTTCAGATTTGGATTAAGATTCGAGCGGGACGTGACTCGGATTCCCTCCGCTGCGGTGTTGTGGGAAACGCACTTGACCTTTTCCCACAACTTGGGGGCGGCACCGGATTCCATCCTGCTCTCCTCGATCCACCTCTGGGCTCATTTCAGGTCCGCCTTCTCGTTTAAGACACTCGGGGTTTCTCGGGCGACGCATCAGTGAGGTCGCAGAGAACAGGAGAAAGAAGAGAGAGAAGATGGTGGGTTGGGCCATTGCCGTTCATGGTGGAGCCGGCGTCGACCCAGGATTGCCGGTGGAGAGACAGGAGGAGGCGCGGCGGGTGCTAGAGCGGTGCCTCCGGGTGGGCGCCGCCGGGCTCCGCGCTGGGCTCCCG